GTTAACTCTGTTTTCTCCTTCACAGATGCTGCCAGACCTGCTGAGCTTTTCCAGCAACTTTGTTTTTGTTCCTGATTTATAGCATCTGCAATTCTTTCAGTTTTTATTACAGCCTAATTCATGCTGGATACCTGCATAAAGCAGAGATAAAGTCTGCGAGGCTGTGATTAGCAAAGACACACAGCTCAGCAGCCTTGCAGAGTCTCAACTGTTCTGTGCATCTTTCCCTCCTCTGTTAGTCTATTAGTTTGTGACAACATGATGGGGAAGGACAGCGTGTGATTGCAGTGAAGGCCAACCTCTCGGATTGGCCAGAAACTGATCACCTGAACAGCATCCTCTCCAAGAATTACAGCCCAGCTCAGCACATCTGTAACAAACCAATACAACCTGCCGGAATTTTAATTCATCTCTAATGTTTCTGCCCACAGCTTTGGACTATGGTGGGGTGACAAAGGCTACATCAAGATGTCCAAGGACAGAGACAACAACTGTGGAATTGCTAACTACGCAGTGTACCCTCTTGTTTAGAAATCCGAAGAGAGTAGTGTCTCTGTAAAGCAAAACCTACTGCACTTTTTACAATGTTAAATATTTTTACTTGCTATCGTATGATTGTTCACTTATTACAGGCATTGGATTATGAGGAAATTCTGGCTTCTTCCCTGAAATAAAAACTCTGCAGTTCGTGATGTCATTATGGCAAAGTTAATGATTTCAGTTGTAGACTCACATTTTAATGAGCCTGTCATTAATTTTGACATGAAGTATGGCCACCTCCAGGAGTGAAGTTACCATTAAACATACATTTCTCTGAAGAATGCTCCAGCGATTAGACACATTAAATCTAAGCAATAAAGACACCAAGCTGCTATTTTCAATATCCCCGACCATTATTCTCTGATTTCAATTTTGTGGAGTCATTCAATACTGGAATCCAGCTTACCTCACAATGTCTTTGATAATGAATTGGGGATCTGTGTATATATAAAAGGGATCAAATTACATTTTGTCAAATGCATTGTGCATTAAGAGCTTGGCTGGGTGTGAGCTACTGTATTTAAATTGATAATAAACAGCATGTGTGGGATTCCCAGAAATGCCTGACTAATGTAACTTTTTCTAAACTCCAGTTAGAACAAGCTCCACCCAGTTCAATGGAAAATATTTAAGGAGACTGGCAGTAACTTAGCAGAACTCTTCCCCTCCCACCCAAAAAACTACTGTTTAAAAATCAAGCAACAAGACTCCCCTGTAGTTAAGTAATCTAGTGTTGCAGTGAAGCATACACAGCAGATGTGTCACACTTGACCCCTGGTATGTGTTGAGCGAGTTGTATTGTGTGAGGGCAGTGGTGAGGGATTTCCATTGATCTAAGCAATTCCTGACCAGGAAACAGGATGAAGAGTCATCTAGACTCGAAACGTTAGCTTGCTCTCTCACCATGGATGCTGCCTGATTCACTGTGATCTCCAGTATTTGTTGTTTTCCGTACAGATTCCAGCATCTGCAGTCATTTACCCGTACTAGCAGATAATCAGTGATGACTCATACTCCTGAACTTTCAGTAGATTTTCTGGAAATGTACTAATGTTTCAATATCAGTTGGGACAGCATTTGTTGTCTTCACTGGCATTGCCCCCATTCATCACTTGGGCGTATGTTCAAAGAATAGCCTCTTGGGTGAGGGACTGGAAGAGACCTTGAGGTTAGAGTGTGAGTTGGGAATTGAGCAGTAACTAATCTCTAGGTCAAGTTTCATTCAAAACTTGCTTGATCTTGGCTTTGAGGCATAACACATGTCACTTGCCCATGTCATGGGTGAACTCTTGAAAGTAATGACGTCTTGGTCAGCAAGCTATAGGAGGACGTTAGTATGATGTAGGAGGTAGATTCAAATGGACTACAACAGCAACTGAAAGAGATAGAAAGCAACTTGAACACTGTTTACAAGAATACTTAAAAAGTGAGACGTGAAAGGGTTAGTTATCGAACTGCTCAATCAAGTTGAAAGGCTATATCTTTGACATATTTGAAGGGGGGTTTGGTCTGGTCCATAACACATCCTTTTGGCTATACAAATGCAAGTGACAGTTAATGGTGTCAAATACTTCGTTCTGTTTTTGTTCTATAACCTGGTGTTTCTGAAAGATGCCACTGGACAGTGGTCAGAAATTCAGAGTTTGATTGATTTTCACCCTCAGGCCCACACCAGCTCAATGGCACTGTCCCAAGAATTGCCTCATTGAGGCTGATGAACACAAGCCAAAGACCTTGCCATGGGGTTAACTAGTGTCAAGCGCATTACCATGTTGCACAGATATGCAGCCTGTGGCTGTTGAGATGCATCATGATCTCTGTGCCTGTTTTGGAGACTGTTCCATGTCACTCACTGTTCAAAATGGTTGTAGGTTTCTAATAACCACCATTGTGAAATAACAAGGTGAAATTCACAGTATCTGGGGAAAACAAAGAAAAGAACTGTAATGATTTAGAAGTACTACTGAGCTCCCTAAACAACCAGTCACTTTATTGTCTTTACAAAGTAGTTTCAAATTACCATGATCTACATTGATGTTTTACTCACCATTCTTATTTGGAAATGGTACAGTTTCTTAATATGTTCTCTGTATCCATGTTTCATAAAATAAAGACCTTCAAAAAAAATTTGTTGTCCTCAGTATAAATGTTTAAAGTGTCTTCGATCAAAGTGATTTGATATTTTAATAAAAACCTTTCTTCTGAAAGTGATGTGAATTTTACTGGTTCATTGGGCATTGAGTGCTTTCTGGTGCCTCATCTGTAACAATACTATGGCTTTAAGAGGAATATTTTGTCCATTTTGTTTTATGAAGAGAATTTGAGACAGAGCTGCCAAGTGGTCTGCTGTAAGCGAGCAACGTAAGCAGCTTGTGAGGCCTTGGGGTTTCTTTTAGAAGTTGCAGCAATAGAAGCAGCCTAAATGGGTAGAGTCAGGCTCCCACAGTAACAGTTTTCTGTTTAGCTTTCAGTAGTTGGTGGGATCTTGAAGCTCAATGTGGAAACTGTTATTCCTCTTTCTGATACAGTTGTATGCTGGAGTTCCCTCTGCTGCCAGAATTTCATGTGAGACAATCTATTCTAATGAATTTGTCTTTTGCCAAGGGTGTGTTTATGGGATGTTACTATATTGGAACAGTTAGTGTTTAGTACTTAAATAACCTATTATTCTGTTAACTTTTGCAATAGAGTTAAGTTATTCTAATTCTTCTTTCTTTTGTTTGTATCTTAACTGGGTGTAAGAATGTTTTTCTGAATAAGGGTCTAGGCCTGAAACGTCAGCTTTCCTGCTCCTCTGATACTGCTTGGCTTGCTGTGTTCATCCAGCTCTACACTGTGTTATGTAAGAATAACGTGTGTTTTGCTTAAAGCCATGTGGTGTAACCAATCGAATTTATCTGGAACACAGTACCTTAAATACTTGCCTTTAAATAAGAAAATGTTAGGGTCTAGGCTATATCTTTGATATATTTGAAGGGGGGTTTGGTCTGGTCCAGAACACATCCTTTTGGCTATACAAATGCATGTGACAGTTAATGGTGTCAAATACTTCGTTCTGTTCTTCTACAACCTGGTGTTTCTGAAAGATGCCACTGGACAGTGGTCAGAAATTCAGAGTTTGATTGATTTTCACACTCCAGCCCACACCAGCTAAATGGCACTGTCCCAAGAATTGCCTCATTGAGGCTGATTGAACATAGGCCAACGACTTTACCATGGGGTTAACTAGTGTCATACGCATTACCATGTTGCAAAGTATCAGCTTCTTGATGTTCACATCTCTACTAAACTGCAGTCAGAATATTAGAACATTTTAGAAACATGAAGGATTATCTTATAATAGTCCCTTAACTGGAACTTTAGCTTTATGTAGTTCAGGCTCATCTGTGTGATATAAGACCCTTCTTCAGCTAACTGAATCCTCGTGCTTTACGAATTAGATTTACAAATGCCTCACGCTTTTCTGAAGTATTCAATACAAAGAGTCGTAGAGTCATACAGCATGGAAACAGATCCTTCAGTCCAACTAATCCGTGCTGACCATAATCCCAAACTAAACTAATCCCACGTCCCTGCTCCTGGCCTATATCTCTCCAAACCTTTCCTATTCGTGTACTTATCCAAATGTCTTTTAAATGTTGTAATTATGCCTACATCCACCACCTCATCAGGAAGTTCATTCCACAGGCGAACCATCCTCTGTGCAAAAAAATTTGCCCCTCATGCCTTTTTTAAATCTCTCTTCTCTCACTTTAAAAAATGCATCCCCTAATCTTTAACTCCCCCATCTTAGGGGGAAAAGACACCTACCATTAACTTTATCTATACCCCTCATGATTTTATAAACTTTTATAAGGTCACCTCTCAACCTCCTACGTTCCAGTGAAAAAAGTCTCTATCAAAGGAAGAATAAAACATTAGAGAATAAGATTTCATCTCCATTGCCTGAGTGGTAACTAGATGGAGTGGATGATCTGTATAACCCACCTCAGCAGTGGATTGTGCTGTGCTCTGTGGCTGCTTTCCCAGATGTGGAGGAGGAGATGATGGATTCAATCATCTTGTGGCTGTTCTGGCTGTTTCTTCAGACTATCAACACCGCACTGACCCGAGAGGCAGCTTCTGCTCAGATCGTCAGGGCCTGGTCTTGTGTTCTCCTTCAGCGGTCCTGAGAAAAGGGGATGTCCCACCTCTGCACCTCCTATTTATCAGGACTTCCAGGTCTCTGTTTTGGTGAAAAAGGCGGCTAACATCCACCATCTCTGGAGCCCGCTTTGTTTTTCCTTTTACAAGATGGAACAGCTGCTCCCTATCTACTCTATCCAGTCTGCTCATGATTTTGAAAACCATTGTCAAATTTCCCCTCAGCCACCTTCTCTCCAAGGAGATGCCAATTAGCTCAGCCGTGATCTTATTGAATGGCCCATCAGGTTCGAGGGGCTGAGTGGACTACTTTTGGTCTTAATTTTAATGTACTAAGTTGCAAAACAGTTTTAAAAAGTAAAAGCAAATCAAATACTGGGGTTTATTTCTAGAGGGAGAGAATTGGAAAGTAAAGATGTCATGTTAAAATTAGATTTAACCTTGCTTTGTCCACAGGTGGGAGTGCTGTGCACAGTTCTGGTCCCGTCCTATAAAAAGGATATGGAAGCAATGGGTGAAGTGCACATTTATTTACAAGAGGGATACCAGGGCTCCAAGTAACACTTACCAGGAAAATACAAACATGCCAGGTCTTTCTTCTCTGAGTCTGAGAGGTGGCTTAATAAATTCCATTAAGTCTTGGAAGGTTCAGTAGAAAAGACACAGAACGAATGTTTCCAGCTGTGGGGAGATCTAAATAATGAGACAGAAATATAACATTGCAATCAAGCAATCTAATTCAGAACTTCTTGTCCAGTGAGAACTTGCTAGCACAGGGATGGACTGAAGCAAATTCTAATTTGTGGAGGCTAGATAGGCACCTGAGGAAGGTGGTAACAGGGATAAACTGAGATGAGGAAAAGTGGGAGGAAGCTTGAGTGGAGAATAAACATGTAAGAGTTGAGCTGAATGGCCTGTTATACATCCAGGTAAATTTTTTATCTTGCAAAAGTATACTTTATTCATAAGAGATCTTTATCTACATTCACAGGTATGAACGCAGTTCTGTACAGTCTTTGCATATCAAGAAAAAATAAATATTCAATCTGACATTCCCTGCAGTTGCAAAAAACCAAAGACATTTCTTACTCACGCAGAACACTATATACATACATTGAGGCAACAAGTGGATCCGATAACTGAATGGACCCCTGTTATACGTTGGCAGAAAGACCTCAGACTGTGGTCTTTCCCCACTGTGCCTTGGCCGTGGCTGCCCTAAGCTTTACTGCATCCCTAAGCACGAAGTCCTGAACCTTTGGAATGTGCCAGTCTGCAATATTTGGTTGAGGTCAACTCTTTGCACTGGAAGATCAACAGGTTTTGGGCAAACCAAAGAGCGCTTTTCACCGAGTTAATGGTTCCCCAGGCACAGCTGGTGTTTGTCTCGGTGTCCATCCCAGGGAACAGACAGCAGAGCACAGAGTCCTGTGTGATGGAGCTGCTCGGGATGAACCTCAATAAAAAACACTGCGTCTGTCTCCAGACCTTCTTTACAAAGGCACATTCCAGCAGGAGGTGTATGACAATCTCTACATCGCCACCCCCATCCCTCACAACAACCGCTTTGGGGTCAGTGTGCAGTGGTGCACAGAGTCCGGGCGCAAATGAAGGATGTGATGAGCAGTGCCCTTCTCACCACCAGCCAAGTGATGTCTTTGTGCTTGTTGGAAAGTTCTGACGATAAGGCATTGACAGGGAACAACCTGACAAGATCCGCCCTCTCCTTTTCCCTCAGGGTCTCAATGATGCTACGTGCTGACCACTTCCTGATGGACTTGGTCAAAGGTGTTTTCCTTTACAAATTTCTCCACGAAGGACAAGGGATATGGAACAGTCCAACTACTTGGAGTGTTCCATGGCAACGAGGCCAGGCCCATCCTCTGTAACACCAGGGACAGGGAGAATCTCAGTACATAGGGACACTTGGTGTTTGCGTACCGAGGGTTTACACACAGCTTAATGCAGCTGCACACAAAGGTGGTAATCAGGATGAGGGCAACATTGGGTATGTCCAGGTAATGGAATTTTTTTAATTTCAAAAATATACTTTATACATAAAAACTCTTTATGTACATACATAGTTACTGAAGCACTTTGGTTCTGTACAATGTTTGCATATGAAGGATAAAACAAACATCGGAGTTTGACTTTCCTGACAGTTCTAACAAACCCAAAGGCATTTCTTCCTTATGCAAGATACTATTTACATAGAATTGGGGTGTTGGGATGGGCCGATAACTGAATGGGCCCCCATTATATTTTGGCTGAAATATCTTAAATGGTGGTGTAATAGACCTTGAAGCAGTCAGCACAGATGTTGCAGGCCAATAGGAGTAGATTCCACTGTGTGTAAAAATATGAAAGAAATGACGGGAAAGGAGAACTCAGGAGAGGTTACTAAAGTCTCCAGCACAGACACAAATAGGACAGAGTGGTTGGAAAGGGTTAGGAATCAAACTTCAAGCACACTGGATAAACGAGTGACAATGAGAAGAGGGACGGTTAATACAGATCTGAAAGTGTTATATCTGAATGCACGCAGCATAAGGAAGAAGTAAATGAGCTTGTGGTGCAGATTGAAATTGACAGATATGACGTAGTGGGCATCATGGAGACATAGCTTCAAGGGGATCAGGATTGGGTGCTGAATATCCAAGGATATACATCTTATCGAAAAGATAGGCAGGTGAGCTGAGAGGGTGGGGTTGCCTTATTAGTAAGAAATGAAATTAAATCAATAGTAAGAAATGAAGTAGGATCAGATGGTGTAGAATCTGTGTGGGTAGAGTTGAGGAACCACAGATGTAAAGAAACCATAGTTGGAATTATGTACAGACCTCCAAACAGTAGTCAGGAGCTGGGGTGCAAGATACACCAGGAGATGGAAAAGATGTGTAAGAAACGCAAGGTTACAGTGATCATGGGGGATTTCAATATGCAGGTAGACTGGGAAAATCAGGTTGGTAATGGGTTGCAAGAAAAGGAATTTGTGAAAAGTCTATGAGATGGCTTTTTGGAGCAGTTTGTGGTAAAGTCCACTAGGGAACAGGCAATACTGGATTTAATGTTATGCAATGAGGCATCTTGATAAGGGAGCTTAAGGTGAAGGAACCCTTTGGAGCCAGTGATCATAATATGATTGAATTTACTCTGCAATTTGACAGGAAGAAGATAGAATCAGAGGTAATGGTATTACAGCTGAATAAAGACAACTACAAAGGCATGAGGGAGGAGCTGGGCAGAATTGCCTGGAAGAGGAGCCTAGCAGGAAAGACAGTGGAACAGCAATGGCAGGAGTTTTGAGGAGTAATTCAAGAGACACAGCAAAAATTCATCCCTAGGAAAAAGAAGCATGGTATAGGGATGATAAAGCAACCATGGCTGACTAGGGAAGTCAGGGACAGCACAAAAGCAAAACAGAAAGCCTATAATGTGGCGAAGGGCAGTGGGAAACCAGAGGACTGGGGAGCTTACAAAGACCAACAGAGGGCAACAAAAAATAAAATAAGGAGGGAGAAGATTAAATATGAGGGTAAGCTAGCCAGTAATATGAAGGAGGACTGTAAGAGTTTCTTCAGATATATAAAGGGCAAAAGAGAGGCAAAAGTGGACATTGGATTGCTGGAAAATGATACTGGAGAGATAGTAGTGGGGAATAAGGAAATGGCTGAGGAACTGAATAATTACTTTGTATTAGTATTCACAGTGGAAGACATAAGTAATAGCCCAAAAATTTGAGAGAGTCAGGGGGCAGAGCTGAGTGTGGTGGCTTTCACCAAGGAGAAGGTGCTAGAAAAACTGAATGGCCTGAAGGTGAATAAATCACCTGGACCAGATGGACTACACCCCAGAATTCTTAAGGAGATAGCTGAAGAGATAGTGGAGGCGTTATTGGTGATCTTTCAGGATTCGCTAGAGTCAGGGAGGGTCCCAGAGGACTGGAAAATCGCTAACATGACACCCCTGTTTAAAAAGCAAATAAGGCAAAATACAGAAAATTACAGGCCGATTAGCCTAACCTCAGTCGTGGGTAAGATTTTAGAGTCTGTTGTGAAGGATGAAATTTCTGAATACTTGAAAGTGTATGGTAAAATAGGGCAAAGTCAGCATGACTTCATCAAGGGAAAGTCATGCCTGACAAATCTGTTAGAATTCTTTGAGGAAGTAACGAGCTGGGTAGACCAAAGAGAGCCAATGGATGTTATCTACCTGGACTTCAAGAAGGCATTTGACAAGGTGTCGCACAGGAAGCTGCTGAGTAAGATAAGGGCCCATGGTGTTAGAGGCAAGGTACTATCATGGATAAAAGATTGGCTGTCTGGCATAAAGCAGAGAGCGGGGATAAAGGGGTCTTTCTCAGGATGGCAGCTGGTGACAAGTGGTGTTTCACAAGGGTCAGTGTTGGGACACAGCTTTTCACTTTATACATTAATGATCTAAATGAAGGAACTCAGGGCATTCTGGCTAAGTTTGCAGACGATACCAAGATAGGTAGAGAGATGGGCTGTATTGAGGATGCGGGGAGGCTGCAGAAGGATTTGGACAGGTTAAGCAAAGAAGTGGCAGATGGAGTATAACGTGGGAAAGTGTGAGGTCATGTACTTTGGTAAGAAGAATAGAGGTATGGACTATTTTCTAAATGGGGAGAAAATTCAGAAGTCTGAAGTGCAAGGAGACTTGGGAGTTCTTGTCCAGGGTTCTCTTAAGGTAAACTTGCAGGTTGAGTCAGTAGTTAGGAAGGCAAATGCAACTTTGGCATTTATTTTGAGAGGACTTGAATATAAAAGCAGGAATGTACTTCTGAGGCTTTATCAGGCTCTGGTCAGGCCACATTTGGACTATTGTGTGCAGTTTTGGGCCCCATATCTCAGGAATGATGTACTGGCCCTGGAGTGGATTCAAAGGAAGTTCACGAGAATGGTCCCAGGAATGAAAAGCTTTACATATGAGGAACGTTTGAGGACTCTAGGTCTATACTCAGCGGAGTTTAGAAGGATGAGGGGGGATTTAATTGAAACTTACAGAATACTGAATGGCCTGGACAGAGTGGATGTTGGGAAGATGCTTCCATTGGTAGGACAGACTAGGACCCGAGGGCACAGCCTTAGAGTAAAGGGAAGACCCTTTAGAACGGAGATAAGGAGAAACTTCTTCAGCCAGAGAGTGGTGAATCTATGGAATTCACTGCCACAGAAGGCTGTGGAGGCCAGGTCATTGAGTATATTTAAGACTGAGATAGGTTCTTGATTATCAAGGGGATCAAGGGTTATGGGGAGAAAGCGGGAGAATGGGGTTGAGAAACTTGTCAGCCATGATTGAATGGTGAAGCAGACTCGATGGGCTGAATGGCCTAATTTCTGCTCCTATGCCTTATGGTCTATAATTCCGGTGGGAGCAGTGCAGCGAGTTCAGCTCCTCTTTAAAGGCAGATTTGAATGCTATGAGCCACATTTAGCTTAGGGACAGCTGAGAGCGGTGTAAACATCCAGAGGTTCATTCCCAGCAGGTAGCGGGGTCAGTTAGCTTCATTCCTACCGCTGGTACAGAAGGGAATCTAAGCAACATGCAGACCTGAACAACTTCACACACATTAATAACCAGGATGCATATTCAGGAGAGGGTTAATTGCAAACTGACGTGAGCGTTTGGAATTTCCCTGTCACATGAGGTCGACGAGAGGAAGTTGTTACATTGTGTGCTTTTACAGCGTTGGTCTAAGTCTGGAGATTTTAGTGGCATCTTGATGTGAAGGAGAGACTAGGAGGTAAGTGCAGAAGCGGCAGCTCAGAGGGAGCTCACTGCCTGAGCTTACGGTGCGGGTTGAACACTGCTCCGGGAACATCTCAATTTCCCGGGCCAGCAATGTCGGGAGTTCGCAAAAGTTAACATTCCCTGCATCCGGTTCGGCTGTTTTTGAATCTAAGTGATTGCAAAGTTGGGCAATCAATGGGGATTTTGTTTTTAGCACATTTTTATTTTTTGCAAAAATCTCACCTTTGAGAATTTGGGATCTATACTTGTTTTTTTAAAATCCACTCCAGTTCCTAATTAAAATGACCATGAAGATTGTGCTAAGAACCTAAATCTTTGAGGGAATGAACTCTCTTCTCTATTTGCATAATTTGACAACCAGCAGACTTTTCAAGGTGCTTCGTTTAGTCAATGTTATAAAGTTGTAAATGTGCACAGCAAGCTCCCACAAGCAGATATGTGCCAACAAGCAAGACAAAAGCAGAAATTGCTGGAGAAACTCAGCAGGACTGGCAGCATCTGTGGAGAGAGAAACAGAGTTAATGTTTCAAGACCCTCGATCAGAACTGGAATAGCTAGGATTTCTGCTGATGACAGGGTGGATTTGGGGGAGAATGGGAAAGGAGATAGTTGAATAGACGGAGATGGTGCCCAGAGAGAGTAGCCAAAGGGCTGGTTGAGAGTGAGCCGGGGAAGAAGTGAATGCTGAATAGGTGATGACGGGAAGTGTGAGTAGTTGAAAATGGGATGGTAGTGCAACTCAGGGTCTGGGGTTTAGGGTGGGTAACAACACTGGAGGAGGGTGTGCCTGCCTGAAATTGTCAAATGCAATGTTGAGCCCTGAATCATAGAAGCCCTACAGTGTGGAAACAGGCCATTCAGCCCATCACGTCCACACCAACCCTCTGAAGAGCATCCCGCCCAAACATTGCCCCTACCTTATCTGCCTGCATTTCCTATGATTAACCCATCTAGCCTGCACCCCATATGGGCAATTTAACACCCAACCTTCACATCTTTGGACTGTAGGAGGAAACCCACGCAGACACGAGGAGAATGTGCAAACTCCACAGAGACAGTCACCCGAGGGTGGGATCGAACCCAGGTCCCTGGCACTGTGAGGCAGCAGTGCTAACTACTGAGCCACCCCTGTCCTGAAGGGGGAGGATGAGGTGTTGCTCCTGCAGCTCGTGTTGAATCTCACTGGAGCACTGCAGCAGGCCTGAGAGAGCAATGTTGACCTGGGAACACTGTGGCAGGCTGGAAGCTTGAGATCATTTTTATGGATAGACCAGAGGTGTTTTGCAAAGCAGTGACCCAATCTGCGTTTTATCTTCCCTATGTAGAGAAGACCTGTACGATAAGTGGCTATGTTCTTGTGAAACAAAAACAGAAATTGCTGGAACATCTCGGCAGTTGTGGCAGCATCTGTGAAGAGAAGTCAGAGTTAGTGTTTTGGGTCCAGTGACTCATCTTCAGAACTATGTTCTCGTGATGTTGTTTGAGGGAATAATGTTTCAGTCAGGAGAAAACTCCTTTTTTTTTCCTTCTTCAATGTAATGCCATGAAACATTGGCACATATCTGATGGGGAGTTTGTTTAACACCTCATCTGAAAGGTGGTAACTCTGATAGTGCAGCACTTCCTCTGCCCACTGGTGAGTCACCCTTGATTTTTGTACTCATTGTAGAATCTCTAGTGTGGAAGCAGGCTGTTCAGCCCATCGAGTCCACACTAACCCTCTGAAGGAGCATTCCACCCTATCCCTGTAACCCTGCATTTCCAATATCTAATCCACCTAGCCTGCATAACCCCTGGACACTGTGGGGTAATTTAGCATGGCCAATTCACCTAGCCTGTACATCTTTGCACTGTGGGGAGAAACCAGAGCACCCGGAGGAAACCCATGCAGACACGTGGAGAATGTGCAAACTTCACACAGTCGCTGAGGGTGGAATCGAACCCAGGTCCCCAATGCTGTGAGGTAGCAGCACTAACCACTGAACCACTGTGCTTCCCTACGGTCCAGGAATTCTGGTGGGAGTCAATTGGGTTCGATTTCACCCTCGGGCGACTGTCTGTGTGGAGTTTGCACATTCTCCCTGTGTCTGCGTGGGTTTCCTCTGGGTGTTCTGGTTTCCTCCCACAGTCCAAAGATGTGCAGGCTAGGTAGATTGGCCATGCTAAATTACCCATAGTGTTCAGGGATGTGTAGGTTAGGTGGGTTATAGGGGGATGGGTCTGGGAGGGATGCTCTGAGGGTTGGCGTGGACTTGTTGGGCCAAGGGGCCTGTTTCCACACTGTAGGGATTCTCTAATCTATGATCTTCTATGATCCTGAACTTGTTAATTTCCCTCCCAGTTGCCAAGATGTAACTAGTGGGGTTCAGACCTCAGGCCCCAACTATTTACAATCAGATTAATGACTTGGAGGCAGAGATAGAAATTACTAAAGCCAAGTTTGTAGTTGACGGTAAAATAGGTGGGAAAGTTGGAAAAAAAAAAAAAATTTTACGGATGGATACGGTTGAATGGGCCAAAATTTGGCAGATGAAGTTTAACATGGGTAAGTGTGAGGTTATCCATTTTAGTCAGGGGAATAGAAAGGCAACTTATGATCAAAGTGGAGAAAAACTTCTGAGCGATCTGGGTGTCCTTGTGCATGAACCACAGAAAGCTAATATGCAGGTACAGCACGTGATAAGGAAGGCAAATGGAATTTTGGTTTTTATTACCAGAGGAATAGAGTACAAAAGTACGCAAGTGTTGCTGCAACTGTATAAGGTCAGTGAGACAGCATGAGGCGCATTGCATACAATTTTGGTCCCCTTACATGAGGAGGGATGTGGTTTCATTGGAGGCAGTTCAGAAGAGATTCACTAGATTGATTTCAGAGATGAGGGGTTTGTCTTATGAAGAGAGACTGAACAATTTGGGCACATACTCTCAAGTTTAGAAGAATGAGAGGAGATCTAATTGAGGTATTCGAGCTTCTAAAGGGGATTGACAAAGTAGACATAGAGAGGATGTTTCCTTATCTGGGGCAATTCAGGTCATAGTTTTAAGATAAACAGTAGCAGATTTAAAGTAGAAATGAGGAGAAATGACTTTTCTCAAAAGTTTGTGAATCTGAAATTCACTACTGCAAAGTGTGGTGGATGCTGGGACATTGAGTAAATAGATCGATTTTTAATTAGTTATGGGTTGAAGGATTATGGAGAGTGGGCAGGAGAGTGGAGTTGAGGCCGAGATGAGATCAGCCATGATTATATTAAATGGTGGAGCAGGTCCGAGGGGCTGAATGGCCTACTCCTGCTCCTAGCTGTTAGAGGCTTATGTAGCTGCAGCCTCCAGCAGCCCAGATATTAGGGCTTTAAATTCCCCTCTTCAGTGTCCCTCACTCAGCGCCATAACGTCACTGACTCCTGCCTAGCGAAACCATTTGGCGGAACAGGGACGCAGTGGGGTGAACAGTCAGGAGAGAGCCATGACCCTGAGATTGGGAGCAGGGGATGGTTCAGGAATTGGAATGGTATCAGCAGTGTGTTGTACAATGCGGGAGACTGGACAACAGGGGCTAAGGGAGAGAAATGGAGATTGGAGAATGGTGTTCAGGTATGAGGGAGATTGACTGTGGGCCAAGCTTGATTGCCATAGAAGGGGTGATCCTGAGCTGCGTCCTTGACAGCTGGCATCAATGCGGCCTGGGTGTACCCACAGTGCTTTCATCTGTCTTGGTGTGGTAAAGGAAAGTAGCTTCCTCGACCAGTGATGAGCTCAGTTAAGAGTCAAGGGAAGCCAGTTAAGAGAAGGCTCTCCTGTTCTTTCTTGAAGGGCAGCACGGTGGCTCAGTAGTTAGCACTGCTGCCTCACAGCACCAGGGGCCCAGGTTCAATTCCAGCCTCGGGCAACTGTCTGTGTGGAGTTTGCACATTCTCCCTGTGTCTGTGTGGGTTTTCTCCCAATGCTCCAGGATCCTCCCACAGTCCAAAGATATGTAGGCTAGGTGGATTGGCCATGCTAAATTGCCCATAGTGTTCAGGGATGTGTAGCTTAGGGGGATGGGTCTGGGTGGGATGCTGTTAGGGTCATTGTGGACTTGTTGGGCCAAAGGGCCTGTTCTACACTGTAGGAATTCTGTGAAGTTGAATAGAGGCTTCCACAGTCTCCATCCACCACCATTCTCCTTCACCTGGCTGAGCTCCTTTTCACTTTGATCGGCTTCTCCTTTAGCTCATCTCATCTTCTCCAAGTCAAAGTTGGGGCTGTAGGTATCTGCCTGGCTCACAGTTCTGCCTGGCACTTTGTGGGGTATGTGGAACATTCCTTGTTCAAGTCCTGCTCGGGGCCCCCACCACAACTTTTTCTCTGGTACATTAATGATGTCTTTAGTCCTGCTTCCTGCTCTCATCTGGAATTGGAAAAATTAATCTGTTTTGCTTCCAGTTTCCTTTCCTCTGTCACCTTCACCTTCTACCTCTAACTCTTCCCTTCCTTGACTTCACTGTCTCCATTTCCAAGGATAGACTGTTCACCAAAATCCATTACAAACCCATCGACTCCCACAGTTACCTCAACTACACCCCCTCACACCCTGCTTCCTGCAAGGATTCCAGTCTCCCAGTGTCTCCGTCTCTGTTGTATCTATTCTGGTGATGCCACCCTCAACTGAGCTGCCACCGACACTTCCTCCTCAACTGAGGAATCCCACCCCCGCGCCCCCATTGAGATGGACAGGGCCTTCAGCTGTCTCCTCCCTTCTACCCTCAACCCTCCTCTTCCTTCCTGGAACAACAGTAGGGTTCCCCTGTCATCATGTTCAACCCCAACAAGCTGTACAGTCAAAGTATCATCCTCCACCATTTCCACCACCTCCAGCAGGATACCATCATCAAACACATTCTCCCCTCCCGTCCACAGTCAGCGTTCCACGGGGACTGTTCCCTCCGGGACACCCTGGTCCACTCCTCCATCACTCCTAACACTTCCTCACTACCCCCATCATGGTACTTT